CATACATGCGAGCCTGGGAGGGGGCACGGTCCCACCCTGGGCACCCCTAGGACACGCCAGCCTGGGAGAGGGCTCGGTCCCACACTGGGCACCCCTAATTTCTGCGCTGAGCCTGTGTTCCTAACTCCTACACATTCCACGGCGGGACTCTTGCACAGACAAGCCCTCTGTTCACACAGGCCCAGACGCCCCCACGCCACCTCAGGTGTTCCGTTATTCCTCACCGAACCCCGCCCACGCCATCACTCACACTCCACCGTTTTACTTTTAGCACCCCCTCACACGCGCCCTTCTAAGACAGCCTTCTTCCTCTCCACCCCTCCTTCTCCCTAAAAGAAGACTTTCCGCCCCCTACCCTGGTGGGATACCTCAGACTTAATTGTTCTGGAACCTGGACGCAGGGGTGTATTTTGTTTTCTCTCCAGCCTTCACAGACAAGCATTCCCCCGACCCCCAGCAACTTTGCCTTGAAGGCTGTTTGCTTAGGGGACAGCCCTGACGCCACGAGGAAAACTGAAACACAGCTGGAGACCGGAGAAGGGGGAGCCAGGAAAAGCCTCACATCCTGCACATCCATTTGCCCTAGCCCGGTATCTCACTGTCCCAATCCAAGATGATAACCGTTAGGACTGGAAGCTTGCGGAGTCTCAAATCATCCTAATCCTCCGATGGCTTGGGGGTGGGGTGGGGTAGGCCATCACGTGCCTCTAGGGGCCCCAGCAAGGATACCTTCCTTATTTTCTGATGGCAGCAAAAAGGAAAGGATTTTTTCACTATCCCTACAATTGCACTCCCTACTGTAGGGTGACCCAGAGGCTGGGGAGGGTCCTGAGGAGAGATCATACCATCCAGGCTGCCTGCCTCACCCTACCTTCTCAAGGAGCCTGTCCCCCAGAGAAACCATTAACTAATTAACAATTACCAGTACTAAACATCACAGGGAAAAGGTGCGGTCATTCTCCCTAGAGAAAGACTGGGCCCTGAGGAGGTGGCTGACTCCACTTAGGCTGTCCCAAGCTACTCTGGTGGGGTGTATCCAGCCTTCCAGCTCCCAAAAATGACACATCTCCCCTGTAGCACTAAGCCAACAAGGCAGGAAGTCAAGCTCGGGTGGTATTTTTCTGGGCACTATCCCACGGCTTAAGAGTAGCCTCATGTCTGTCCGCAAACCCAGATTTCTGCCCTGTGTTTGTCTGGTCTCTGTCTCTCCCCTGCCTCCCCCCTCCCCTGGCGCCTCCCACCGGCTATCCTTTCCCAGCTCAGGTCCTGTAGCAGTAGATTCACTAGGCATGGCCAGGCTGGGGGCCAGTGGCCTGTTCATGTGTACAAAGGGGGCTGGAAGTGACAGGAAAGGAGGGAAGTGGTGAGGGTCTTGGCCAGACTGAGGAAGGCTGGTTCTCTTCCTCACTCCCTCACGCCCACTGGGACCTGGCCATCTATGCAGATAGCCACAGCCAGGCCTGTTATTGCTGGAGAACAGCCCATCTGGCAAGCTCCTTGCCTGGGTTCTATCCAGCACCCACACCCCAGGCAGCCTCAGCCAGTCACTGGTGCCAGGGCCCTCTGCCGGACAGCCCTAGGAACCCAGCTCACACAGGCCTGGGCCTGGACAGGTTCTTAGGCAGGTCTACCAGGCCTGTTTCACCTTCTCATTTCACAGGAGGGCTGCTCCACCTGACCTGATGTTCACTTTTGCGTCCTGTTCTCCGCCCTAGTTGCTCTGCACTTCTCCCACCCCCGCCCCCCTTTAGAAGGTCGGTTTGCTTCATACCACATCACAGCCCTCTCCCCAGGCCTGTGTTCTCTCAGCTGTTAGCAACAGCCATCTGTGTTTGCTGCAACAGTGTTTACACCAGCCTGGAGGATGGGGGGGTTGGGGGGGACGGGGACGGTGGTTGTCACAAGCTATGTCTCAAGTTCTCTATTGTTTGTAATTAAATCCCTGTGGCCTTGTGGCAGAAAAGGAACTAGGGAAAGCCTAGTGAAACACTTGTCCAACGTGCTAAATTTAGGGGATACCAAAAAGATTCAACAATGAAGAGAAATTTTTTGTTTGTTCGTTTTTTCTTTTTCAAGACAGGATTTCTCTGTGTAACTGTCCTGGAACACATTTTGTAGACCAGGCTGGGCTTGAACTCAGAGATTCACCTGTCTCTGCCTCCTGAGTGCTGGGATTATATGTGGGCTGCCACCTCCTAGCTAATGAAGAGGAATTTTAAGGCAATGTGGGTTTTGTTGCTTTATTTTGTAATGCTGGGGGGTGGCGGGGGTCGAGTTCAGGACCTGAACACGTGCTAGTGACACACTCAGCCACTGAGCTAGCTCCTCGGCCTTAATGTCACTGTTAAGACAAAACCAAACCTTACTTGTGGGAAGACTGCATAAAGAATACAACAGCAAACTGTGCAGTGTGTGGAGGCCAGAGAACACCCTGCCTGCCTGTCCCTCAGGGACTATCCACATTGGTTTGTTTTTTGAAGATTATCACTTGTGTGTTTACCACGTGGGTACAAGTGCATGTGGAGACCTGAAGGCTTTGCATCTCTGGGAAACGGAGTCACAGGCAGTGTGAGCTACCTGATAAGGGTATGGGAATTAAGTCCAGGTCCTCTATAGGAACAGTAATCTCTCATTAACCACTGAGCCATTTATCTAGCCACCTAGTTTTGTGTTTTAGACAGGGTCTCACTAAGTAGCTCTGGCTGTCCTGGAACATACAGAGATCCGCCTGCCTCTGCCTTAGCAGTGCTGGGATTAAAGGCCTATACTGCCAACAGGGCCCACCTTGTTCTTTTGTTTTTTCGAGACAGGGTTTCTCTGTGTAGCTTTAGAGCCTATCCTCGTACTGACTCTGTAGACCAGGCTGGCCTCGAACTCACAGAGATCCCCCTGCCTCTGCCTCCCGAGTGCTCCCCACCTTGTTTTTTGACATAGCATTTCTAATCATAGGTCCTCCTCTCCCTTGCCTCCCCAGTGCTGGGGTTACAAGTAGCATCACAGCTTTGAAACAAGAAAACAAAAAACATTTTCTTAAAACTTAGGTTCTGAGGATTGAATCAATTGAGCAAGTCTCCCCATGCCCAATATCAAATTTTCAAATACAGGTGTACACAGGGTGGATACGAGGTCAGAGTTCAAGAAGTGACTTTGTTCATTCGTTCTGAGCCTGGGCTTCTAGCCAAATTTTTCAAAGGTGTCTCCTAATCTAATTGGTTGGCAGGTAGGCAGGGGCAAGTTTAGGTGGTCCGGAGCTTAAACAATCATTCAATTGTGGGCCTACAAATTCCCAGAAAAAAGATATCCTTCCTCAAGAGGCGGCAGATTTGGATTCTGCTGAGCCACAGCCTCCTCAAAGGGCCTGCGGGACGCGACTGGGACAGAACGCAGCAATCCAGGTCAGCGCCCCTCCTCCCTCGCCCCACCCCTATGCACCTGCGGAGACTAGGGCACCCGCTTCCGGACGGGGTGGGGGGACCGGGCGGAGACCCCAGCCTCCTCCCGACCTCCTCACCTCGGGGTGGGCTCTACTGCCAGGGCCGCAGCTGGCAGGTCTCTGGAGCGAGAAGAGCGTCACCGATGCTAGGCCCTCAGCTCCGCAGCCGCTGCCTGCCCCGCCCCAGCCGCTCTTGGTGTGGACATCCGAGGACACCAGGTGGCCCAGAGGAGGCCCAGTGGGCGGGGCCGTGGGGCCGAGAAGGGACGGTTAGCGAAGGTGGGACTGCCCTTAATCCACTTGTCCCCACAGGTCTCAGTTTCTGAGGACGCTAGGAAGCAGCAGGGCCCCGGAAGGAGGGAAAAGGGAGGAGGGGGAAGTTGCAGCTTAGTTTAGATGCCACTCCTTTCCCAGCCTCAAGTGCCTATAGGAACCTGAAGGGGGACTCCCAACTTGATTAGGGATCAACTTGATCAGTGAGGCCTGTATTCCTCACTATACCCCTCTTAACCTACAGCCTGTGTGGGAATCATAAATTATCTAGAGGACCTTACTACACAATGCCTGCCCATGCTGCACACACACACAGGCTCCCAGGGCCTCTGCTGGGGAGTCGGAAATAAAGTAAGTTTTTAAAAATTATTATTTTAGCCGGGCGTTGGTGGCGCACACCTTTAATCCCAGCACTTGGAAGGCAGAGGCAGGCGGATCTCTGTGAGTTCGAGACCAGCCTGGTCTACAAGAGCTAGTTCCAGGACAGCCTCCAAAGCCACAGAGAAACCCTGTCTCAAAAAACCAACCAAACAAACACAAATTATTTTATGTGTATGGGTGTTTGGCCTGAGTGTGTGTCTGTGCACCAGGTCCGTGCCTGTTGCCCTTAGAGGCCAGAAGAGATTGTGGAACTGGGTTTCTAGAGGGTTGTGAGCTGCCACGTGCCACGCTGGGAATTGAACTCAGGTCCTCTTAACTGCTGAGTCATCTCTGCAGCCCTATGACGTGAGTATCTTAGGTGACTTCCTGTTTCTTCCAGGGTAGTATGACCTCCGTCATGGGCATGCATGTCCCCACTTCCCTGTCCACCTCCCAGCTGGCCGGTCATCCTTTTCCCACCACCTCTAGCTGAGATGTCCCCCAAAACTTGCCAGGGATGGATTTTCCTTCCCCTGTCAGTCAGCAAGCCTTCCTGTAACACACATCTAAGAATCCTGGGCCACAGTGGGACATTCTGAATGAAGTCGCACGACTGCAGACAGATGGAACAAGTTATCCAAAGGAAGTCTTGCCAGTGTCTTCCCCCACCCCTCCTCCAGCTTCCCGCAGAGAGGCCAGAGCTGGGATGCTGAGGCTTTCAGATCACCCCAGTGATCCAGTGCACGTAGAGTGCCCACCCAGCATGCAGAGCTCTAGGTTTAATCCCGATGTCACACAATCTGGGCTTGGATGTGGGTGTATGCCTGTAATGCCAGCACTCCTGAGGTAAAGGCAGAAGTTAGTTCGGGATCATGCTCAGAGCCAGGCCTGGTGGCACACACCTTTAATCCCAGCAGAGGCTGGCGGATCTCTGAGTTCAAGGTCAGTCTGGTCTACAAAGTGAGTTCCAGGACAGGCTCCAAAGCTACACAGAAAAAAAAAAAAACAGAAAGATCCTCCTTAGGAGTTTGTGGCCAGCCTGGTCTACATAAAATCAGGTCTCACAAACAACAACAACAATGTAATAGTAACACCGCTGTTTATTGACTACTCGACACACGCTGAGCTTTGAGAATACATCTGTCTCAAAAGGGAACCTAGTATTTTAAGGTAGATTTTACATCTGAAGACTGGACATTTGGGATTTAAATACCAGCTCTTTGCTAAATTGCCTTGAGTCTAAGTTACACATTGTCTCTTAACTGACCTTGAAGCCCCTCATTTGCAGGTCTGCCCTGGAGGCAGAGGGAGATGCAGGCTGGTGGGGGAGGGGAGAACAATACATCTGTGATCTGCAAGATCCTGGGGAGTGGGAGTTGGTCAGGCCAGAACTCTCTTGACTCAGCCCCCAGTCTTCTTCCACTGGGCATTCTTCAGTAGCACAGACACCAGGACTAACCCACTCCAAAAGAAAGTACTTCGATGGACACTGCTGATTCCACGACCCTTGGCCTCACTTCTGGGGGCCCAATCTCTCCTTCCTCTGGGAGTGGTCCGCCCTAGAGGCCTCTCCAGCATCCGGTGGTTGTTGCTGGCTGAGGACAAACAGCAGACAGCCCAGCAAAGCCTCTCTCATGTCCTGGGAGCTCAGTCGACGGGCGAGTTGGCGCAGCAGGGGCAGGAGGTGCTGACGGGCCAGGCGGGCAACTGGCAGCAGCAGGCGGGATAGCAGCGACCGAAGCAGCATCGGGAGAAGCGGAGCGGGCATGGCAGAGCCTGGACCTGCAAAGGGAACCCGGGGGTCTGGACTACACCCGCCTCACCTGGCAAAGGCCGCGGGGTGGACGGGTCCTTCTCCCTTCAGATTATTTCTCTGTGCCTTTAACTCATGAATTAGTTTTGCTTTGGTTCGGGCAGCCCTTTCTCCTACCAAGACAGCTGACTTAGGGGATTCGCTCCCTGTTAGCCCAGATGGGAACTGAGCCCAGGGTGGGGGTGGGGAGCTACAGCTTGCTGTTCTGGCCTCCACTGGCACTGCTCCTTGTCCAGGGCCCACTTCCTTTCATTACACACACCCCCCTTGCATACTCCGACCCGAGGCCTGCACTCCTTGCCCTCCCATCCACCACCTCTAAACCGGTCCGCGGTGGCTCTCACCAGTCAGAAGTGCTAGTCGGAATCAATTTCAGGATGCATTTGCCCGCCTGCGGTGGGTACAGCATCACTGGAAAGCACAAGGTAGCCCCACCCCCCTCAGCCTCCACCCAGCTCAGCTCACTTGGGTGTGGAGGGGTACAATGAGGGAACAGCTGGGTTCCAGCACCTGGCATAGTGAGTCCAGCTGCTCCCTCTTCTAGTCTGAGGAGAATAAAGGAGGGAACACATGCAGGAATCCCCCTTGGGAGGACAAGCGTCAGCAGGTGGACTCTTCCGGGCTCCAGTCACTTCATGTGTCACCTCTAGTGGAGGAAGAACTGGAGAAACCACAGAAGAGGACAGCATGTGGCTGATACCTCAGATGCAGTAAAGCTCTGTTCAGACACTCTTCCTAAACCCCGTCCATGCTACTCTAGTGGCTAAGCCAGCAAGGGTTGGCAGGCTCTCTGGTAGGCCATCTTCAGGGGCAAAGGATGGGATGCACAGCTTCTGTCACAGCTGACAACAGTTCCGTACAGCTGGGTGGCTGAAGGACCTTCCCCAGTCATCCCACTGCTGCCTTAGACTAAACGAGATTCCATATGTATTTCCAACTATATCTGGTGTGTGCATGTCTGTGTGTGAGTGTGTGTGTGGTATGTATCTGTGTGCAGGTCTGTGTGTGTGTCTGTGTGTGAGAGAGTGTGTGTGTGTGTCTCTGTGTTGTGTATCTGTGTGCGTGCGTGAGAGAGAGAGAGAGAGAGAGAGAGAGAGAAAGAGAGAGAGACCTCCTTTGGGAAAATCATGTCCATACTTATGTCTCACTTTTCCCCTGAATACCTTTCTACTAATCTCTGTCCTTCAATCTGCTAAAAAATGTCCTTTAGTAAACTTCAACTCTGCTTCATACTGATTTGTCCTGAAACTCTTCTGTGTCAAAGGCTTTCCCTGAGGGGAAGTCTCTAGACTCTGGGGCCTAGAGGATTAAGGGAACTCCTTAATGGCTACAGACCATGAACAGTGAGTGTCTCCACCCCTCTTTTGCTGATTGCTTTATCTAGCCTGTGGCAGTCCTGGTGCTACTGTAACTACTCTCATGTGAGCTGCTTGGCTGTCTCTAGCAAGTCTAACTGCTGTAGCCATTAGACTGATATTTCCTATTTATCTTTTGTGACCCAAACAGCCTTTATAAAGCATGAATTGAATTTGCCCTTTTTCTGTCCAACTGCCCATGGCCCCCACCTCATCTTTAAGCAAGTTAAAGCCTTAACAATTAAGGCCACGACTTCAGGGCGTGCAGTTCAGTAACAAGCCTCTCACCTGCAAGTCTGAGGCCCCATGTTTCACACCCAGCTCTGAAACAGGCAAACCAAAGTAGAAACATAAACAAATACCACCAGAAAACCCAAAGTGAAGCCACCTGTGTGGTGGTGGCTGTAGCGCATGTCTTTAATCCCAGCACTTGGGAGGCAGAGGCAAGTGGATCTCAGTGAGTTTAAGACCAGCCTGGTCTACAAAGCAAGGTCCAGGACAGCTAGAACTGTTACACAGAGAAACCCTGTCTTGAAAAACCAAAAACAAACAAACAAACAAAAAACACCACAGGGTCTAGCTATCACCCCCAAGGGCGCTGGGTAATGTAGCCTCCCTTGGCTTCCTGATTTAGTTTCAAATCCCTTTAAAAATATTTTATGGAGGGGGCTGGAGAGATGGCTCAGGGGTTAAGAGCACTGACTGCTCTTCCAGAAGAACAGTCATATGGTGGCTCACAGCCATCCGTAATGAGAAGTGGTGCCCACCTCTTCTGGTCTGGAGCTATACATGCAGACAGAACACTTTATACATAAATAAATCTTTAAAAAATATTTTATGGAGTTGTAAGTATGTTCATAATTTCTTTTCCTTTAAAAATTTATGTTGCCGGGCGGTGGTGATGCACACCACCCAGGACTTGGGAGGCAGAGGCAGGCAGATCTCTGAGATCGAAACTAGCCTGGTCTACAAGAGCTAGTTCCAGGACAGCTTCCAAAGCCACAGAGAAACCCTGTCTAAAAACAACAACAACAAAAAGATATATATATATATTGAAAGTATGTCTGTAAACCACAGGAATGCCCATGGAGGCGTCCTCCTTTCCTTGCTCTCTCGTTCCTTGATCTGTCCTCTCAGATTTTTCCTTCTATTTATTCTCTCTGCCTGCCCGCCCTGCCTATCCTTTCTCCTGCCTAGCTATTGGCCATTCAGTTGTTTTAGACAAAGTAACACAGCTTCACAGAGTTAAACAAATGCAACATAAAAGAATGCAACACATCTTTGTATCATTAAACAAATATTCCACAGTATAAACATAATTATGTATGGGCTAATGAGAGTTCTAAACCGTGTGTGTGTGTGTGTGTGTGTGTGTGTGTGTGTGTGTGTGTGTGTGTAAGCAAGGACTGAGGCATATGTACATCCCGAGTTACAGAAAGGAATAGCAGCATGAGGCTTTCTGGGGTGACAAACTAGGGAGTCTGAGACTCAGAAAGGCTTTATTGTCTTGTTGTGCAGATAAAAGTCTCAGGCTGGGGATGCAGCTCAGCAGAAGACTGCTGACCTTGCGGAGGACTTCTCTCACTGCAAAAAAAAAAAAAAAAAAAACCGGGAAGAAAGAAACCTTTGTGGTAGAAGTTATTTTAGAACAGCTCTCTTCCTGGTATGGAAGACATTTCCTTTGTGGAAATTTCCCTCACAAAATGGCAGCTTTCCAGAGAGACCTCTGTGTCTAGTTTCTGAGAACAGCCAGTTGAAATAATCAACATACCAAAGAGGCAAGTTTGGGGGTAGTGTTGTTGGGTCTCCTGAGCCTCAACTTCTTCCCTGCTGGCTAGCTTTCACAGCAATAGAAGACTATGGGGACTGCTGAGGAAGGGAGTCATCATTGGTCTTATTCAGAGGTGGACATTGCATACTAACATGCTAGGTAGGCTGGGCCCGGCCCGCTGGTGCAATAGTGGTGTGAACATTACAGGAACAACCAACCACGTTTTCATTGGATTTGAGGATTGCTTCACAAGGGGGAATTCATGCTTGGTACTTCAAACTTGGTCAAAAGCCCATGGTTCTGGAGGTCATAGGCCCTAGTGGAAAACTCACTACTGTTATTTTACTAAATGGACATGCTGTCAAACCACCTTATAAATACTTATCTTTGTACCCGTAGGTTAGTGATCAGTCCAAGAAGCACACACCCCCCCCAACAGTTAACACAGAGACTCATAACTCATCAACATGTTGAGAATAAGAGACAGCTCAGTGCTCAGCCTTACATGGGACTTTTATATTTACCCCCTTTAAAACTCAGGGACTGTCACAGAAGAGGAGTCAAAAGAGTGTTAGAGCTGAGAATGTGGAGGAGGGCTATGAGATGCTATCTTCTGGACATAAGATAGCATTACACTCAGGAACTCATAAGTTATGAAAGACCTGCACCAATCCAAGCAGATGAGATCCGTCAGTGCTGCAGCAGGCAGCGTGGCAGCACTACTTATTCTCTTCTGTAGGTTACCAAAAAAACCCCAAAAATTTAAAAAAACAAAAAATGGGGTGGCATGAAGGCAGGTACATTGAGGGTGTATGGAAGAGTGGGAAAGAATTGTTGGAGATATATATGATCAAAATACACAGTATACATGTATGAATTTGCTTTGTTTTTTAATTTTACATTTATCTATTTATTATGTAAGACAGTGTTCTGCCTGCACATATCTCCAGGCCAGAGGAAGGAACCAGATCTTATTACAGATGGTTGTGAGCCACCATGTGGTTGCTGGGGATTGAACTCAGGTCCTCTGGAAGACCAGCTAGTGCTCTTAACCTCCAAGCCATCTCTCCAGCCCACATGTATGAATTTATAAAATAATTTTTTTAAAGTTTCACATCCTGAAACTGGGTCTGGAGATTGTGCCGTAACCCATTAACAAAACATTTCTGTCTATGGGAAAAACTAGAACCAGATGTGGCATGGAAGCCTGTCATTTCTGCATTCCAGAGGTGAAGGTAGAAGGAACAGAGCTTAAAGCCTTCTGAGGTTATGTAGTGAGTTCATGAGTTCAAGACCACCCTGGGCAATAAAATTTAAATTAAAATTTAAAAAGGTCCCCAAACAGTAACACCACTGCCACCCCCAAAACCAAACTGGAGTACCGTGTGAGCAAGTTTCTAAGTCTAGGAGGCACAATTGGTTGAGGAGATTCTGGTTGCTAGGCTCAAAGTGCTTTTCCCAAATTGTCTCTGGTGAGAGCTTTGTGAATCCTGTGGTGTGTGCTGTTATTTGTCCAGGACTGCTCTCAGATCCCCCAGGGGGGGGCTCACAGATTGTGGGGATCAATTCTCATTTCTTTAGTAGTCTGGTAGGTTGAGAGACACAAGTGTCTCTTTAGAATACCTTCATTTCTGCCTGGTCAGTTAATAACCACAGCAGCACCAAGGGAAGGAGTGCAGGCTTGGATGGCTCCCTCTGGGAACCTCCAAACTGCAGAAGAGCCCTGAAGGTCCCACCAAAAATCTAGTTTAATCTATGAATGCTGAGATACCACCCTACACCCACACCTACCCACAAACACGCAGTATGTCACACTACATCTTTTCCAG